CCGTTCATGCTCTTATGCTACAGCCTCTACACTGGGTATGGCACAATCGCGTTTCACTGGAACGAAGGCTACATAACGCCTCGCGAGATCGACTGACAAGGGGCCACATGTAGAAGGACTGGCTGCCACATCTCATAACCTTGCTACGGGAGACCTGTCTACTCTCATCCTCCAACCTGATTGTCAAAAGAACAAGATAACCCCGACACCGCATGCTTGTTCTACCCAGCTCGTCTTCAGCGAACTCATCGAGGACATCATCGAATTCTCTTCATCCGACCTATCTAGCCTACTCTCTCTATGTCTGGTCTCGCACAGCTGCGTGTGCCCCGCCCAGAAACATCTTTATTCATATATAGACCTGAAATTTGGAGCTGAAAACGCGCCTCAGACGTCGCAATTGGGGGTGGACCGCGCAAGTCAATGGCTCACCACTATTACACACAACCCATCCCTCGCCCGTCACTTGCGCACTTTCATCATCGAATTGCCAGTTGACGACCCATTTTGGCCGCTCCTCGCTCCTGCATTTCATACCATGAACAATTTAACCATTTCTAAGCCTGACACATCCTCCACCTTTGTACCTGCAAGGGCTTTTGGGTTGTCCATTCCGGCTGAGTGGCTTCAGCCTTGCACGCCCCGGACCAATCCAAGAGGGAAACCTGTTCGAGTTTCTTCTCGAACAGACCGAGATATTGAGCATTGCCCTTTTTGGTCACTGGCCCGGTTCCGGGCTGCGGTGGGCAGGGCCTCAGTTATCTATTCCTCCTTCTGTATGTCAGGAGACCAGAGTATTTGGTGGGAATAGAGCAGGTATCGAGACGTTCGTTCGGGATAGGCCAAATATCTCGTGTATATACTGGGCAGCTACTCGGTCGCGGAGGACCTGCCCGACTCGGCCTCCTTCTCTTGCTTTCGGTCAGAGTTTGGCCAGACTTATGACCCTCACGCTCTTTTCGCCGGTTGAGCTTGGGGAGCCGTGTCGTCCGTCGCTCTCTCTCATCTCACAGCATCTAACTGCTTTGCGTAACTTATGTGTTAATGGGGAGTACTATGTGAGTTTGTCCCGCCCCTTTTTTGTTTCACGTGTGGATATACTCAAACTTGGGGATAGAGAGATGAGCTGTATGAAGTGTCGGAGCTCCCGAGCCTTATCAACTTTTGCTTGACTGGTATCCATGAGTCCCTGATACCACCAGAACCGGTACAAGCTGGTTTAGTTGGACAGTGGTTTCGCCTTTCCCACTCTCTACAGACCGCACACTTTATGCTTCGTACGCCTGGGATTGATTGTAGGACTTGGGAAAGAGGCGAGAGGGAGACTGTTGTTATGAAGTTGACCCCTGCTACGGATCCTGACATGTTATGGACTATTTGATGTAGAACCACTTATTAGCTAGCGATTGTCGTTTTACATACTGGACTCTCTGTTCATCATGCTGCCAAGACGTTAACCCTCTCCCCTCGTCCATCTTGCCAGGCCCAGCAGCGAATATGCTTGAGGGGTGCTACCCAATCAGCAACAAGTCCGAGATGGAGCAACTCCTCGCGGGATCTAGAGCTGACAGAATCCATCCGAGAGCTTGGCTTCTTTATGGATGGAGATAATGTGAGTGGTGGGGAAGAAGGACGAGTGATCGAGTGCTTACGGTTGAGATCGCACAAATGACAGTGTCGGTATTTCATCCAGCCAGTAGCGGTAAAGCCGATCGCAGGGTCTATTGTCGTTTGCTAGCTCTAGCACGATATTCCGCGAGACCAGTCATAGAAATCTTCGAGTATTGTAAGCGACTGGATACAGGATTTGAGTTACGAGGCGGCTAATCTGTCCAGAAGTTTTTGTGGGTGAGGATATGTAACTGGTTCGGCACATGCCGGATGAGATACCGAGTTTTGTTACCCGACGTCAGGAAGCCAGATATTGACTAGCGTGTTGTATCTGCCTCCTGGACATGAGCGTCTGTGACACCACACTCGAGGATGCACGATTACGAACTGTATATGTGGAGCCACTTTATTTCGGGGCAGGCAGATGATCAAGGATGGTGATAATGATATTGAGGGTGAAGGGGACGTGGAGGTGCCAGGACGCACGGTGACGAGCAGGTGACCCTTCTTGTGACCCCTGCGGGTTGTAGGGTGTGTATGGGTTCTTAAGGTGTGATAAAACTCTGCCCCCCCCCGCGATGAGAAGGGGGGCCCTGTCAATGGAGGGGTCGAAGAAGCTTGGTGTGGGACCTGTATACACCGAAGGCGTAAGTGACAATGCGTGTTGATCATCTTGATATTGATCAAAGATGGAGTACGTTGGGTGGTGAGATTCGATTGCCAGCTGGTTGCCAGAAGAAATATGGTGTGAGAGAAGTGGGCGAGGGGTGGTACCTTCCTGTGGCCGTGCACCAGAGGAGAACATATATGAGCGGGCTACCGGGAGAAGCTGATGTGGGTATTTGTAGTTCGGATTTGTGGCGGTTCGGTGTCCCCGTGCCGTATTGGGAGGTCGAGGATGGGGAAAAGGCAGCAGAGAGTATAGAAAAAGGGAGAGATAGCGGCAACTCGTTTCGATCGAGTGGCCTCGGGGCTATAGGCTCCGCGCGCTGCCACTGGGCCATGGTGGGAATGGAAAAGTAAGAGGGAGGGGATGGGGGGGAGGAGAGAGAATGAGTTGTTGTTGTTTGGCGTCAGGTTCTGCCACGCGCGGCAAAGCAGTGACTTGTTGTTCTCCTCCTGCTGCTTTTTGCTCTGGCCGCGCCTGATGTCGGGCAAGGCTCCTCCTACTGGTCCTCGCGCACTCCGGGCCTCTCTGCCGCCGGGATCAGCCCCCGGTCAGCAGCCAGCACATCTCCCATCACAACCCCGCCAGCAGTCCGCCCTCCCCCTCACCTCTCGCTTCGGCCCCATTCCAACAGGCCCTCGTAGCCTCACAAATGGTCTTCACAGAGCACCCCCCACTGCACCCAAACAGCTTCTTCATGGCTCTCATTATGCCCCGCAAAACACCCCAGGGTCCAGCACCCCAAACGCCCTTTCCAGCCATGCCCTTCAATCTGCTCGACATCCAATATCAATCAATGGCAAACGACCAGATACTGCGAGTGCGAGGTCGGATTCTGGGGTGATTACTTTTCATTGTGTTTGTGACTCCGATATACCAGGTATTTACCATGAACTCTCACAGGGCTGGCAGTCCTCTCAATCACAGCCAAACGGCGCGCATGACAATCTCCAGACTGTCAATGGCACCTCATCCGCCGTTCCAGGTGCACCCAGCGGTAGCGGCTCAAGGACTGCCATTTCCATCCCTATTGCCCCTGCTGGCCTTAAAACTGCCCTGGCCAGAGACAAACCCTCGGTCCAAATTCCGCTGCACCCACGTTCCCTCGCTCGTGATCGACCAGCGCCTCCAGTAGAACCACCACCACCGCCCCCACCACCCAGCGCTGACCATCCACCACCGCCTCCACCGCCTCCTGCGCTTCCACCGGCGGAACCGAAATCACCACCACCTCCAATACCCTCGGATCCTCGACTGCCTTCACCACCACCACCACCGCCGCCTGTTGAATCTCTTCCTCCACCACCTCCACCTCCACCATCGTTTGCACCTCCACCGTCTCCGCCACCACCACTACCTCTAACAAGGGTACCAACGCCTCCGTCTCTACCCAAACAACCCTCTCCGCCTTCACCAACACTGCTTCCCGATAAAAAAGAACCGATATCAATATCACTGGTACCCAAACCACCACCGCCTCCTTCAGATCCTCCACCAACACCACAGCAACCCCCACCACCACCTGAGGAAAATGCTCCCCCACCACCGCCACCACGAAGACCCTCAACGCCTCCCTTGCCTCCACCAAACGCACCCGAAGAATCCATACCAATACCCTCGAAACCACCCACCCCACCACCCGCAACACCTCCAGAACCAGAACCAACACCACCATCAGAACCAGCACCAGACCCCCCACGTGAACTTACACCTCTACCGCCCTCAACACACCATCATCAACATACACCACCTCCACCTCCCCCTCCCCCTCCCCCTACAGAATCTAAACCGGAACCGGAACCACCAAAATTCTACTCCTTACCGCCTCTCCCTGATTGGCCTCCGCCGCCCTCTGCGTACCCTCCCCATCCGGATATTCGTACTTTTAAGTTGTTGTATGATGGTAATACCGACTCTGCGTCGTCGGCTGCGGCGGTGTCCAATCCGCATTCGTATCAGCCTGCGCGGGCGGCGTATTTCAAGAGTTTGATGGAGCATGCGAGGAAATTTGATAGGGAGAGGATTTTAAGGCCTGGTGGTGGTGGGAGTAGTAGTGGGAGTAGTGGTAGTGGTGGGGGGGCGGGTGCGACGAAGGAGGGGTTTGTGAGGTATGAAGGGGGTACGTGGGGAGAAGGGGTTGTGTGTGAGGATGGTGTGAGAGAGGAGGATGTTGGGGAGGTTAGGGATCCGAGGAAGGAGAATAATGTAAATGTGAAGACGGGGTTTAGGTCGTTGAGGAAGGAGTTTGTTGAGGTTCGGTACGAGGTATGTGTTTTTCTGTTTTTATTTTTATTTTTGATGTTTTTTGGCCCTGGCGGTTTTCGTTTCTTATTCTTATTTGTACCCACCCGTGAGATGAACAATCGAGCTAACCACACGCATGCACATGCTCTTTTTTTTCTTTTCTAAAAATAGTATGACGCCAATTCAACGGGTCCACCACCACCCACATCGGTCCTCATAACAAATATACCCCCGCTCACGCCTAATGCTGCTATACGGCGGCACTATG